TATACATGTCTGCTACTCTCTCCACTACCAGTAAATGCCTTTTGAGTGGCCAAGAAGTTCATAATCTGGCTTTGCACCCGAGTAGGAACCCGCCTTCTACAAGATTTCATTATTTGCCTAGAAACCATCGCAAAAGTAGCAGTAGGCTGGATCACTCGCATAAGCTCCTCTTGAATATCCTCCCACATCTCCTCGGGAATCTGACCATCTAACATACTCATCACAGAGGAAACAAGCTGCATCGCCTGCTGAGTGCAATCCTCCTGCGGCATGTAAGAGGGCCCCGATGGCATAGTCGAGGGTGTGGAAATCGGCGGAGGCTGGAATTGTGTAGACACCCTCTGAGCTCCAACTCCCATCCACCTGGTCCTCCCTTTTTTAGGAAGTCCACAAACTAGATGGCTCACATTATAATTCTGCTCTCTAGTCAGGGGCTCTTGGCTCTGTGTAACAACCTCAGAATACGTGTTTTCCAGAGCTTCCTAGAAGTCCAAAAAATAAATTTAAGAATTAGCCTTTCAAAAATAAAAGATATTTACCTGAACAAGTAAAATAAAAGTACATGTGAAGGGTGTTTTGTGCAACATAAAAGTACATGTGAAGAAGGGATAACGAGTGCTAATAAATAGTTGTTTCTTATGCATTGTTATATCTTATGCATTGTTATATCCTAACAAGCAAGCCCCTCATATTTATAGCTATCTGAAAGTAAATATGCAATACTCTCTTAAGAGTCTGATAAGCGCATTAAAAGCACATTGTGTTTTTTTTTGGTATATCATCTAATAATTATATACCAATTCGATAATTTAGCCATTAAATTTAGTTGGGAGCAGTTTTTTTTCATAATAACGAGGTATTAATATCGAATCTTTGCTAATAGTCATTGTCATCAAAAGATCAAGCATGAAATCATTAAAACATGCAAAAAGAGATGACAAATGTGATGAAAGAATAAAAAGGCTACGGTGGAGAATGCACACACACTTACATGATTTTAGAATGCAAACTGTTATTTGAATACATGATTTTAGAATGCACACACACTTACATACTTATACACATGTATGCATATGTGTGTGTGTGTGTGATGTGTGTGTGTGATGTGCGCGTATGTATGCATACGTGTGTCAGTGTGTTTAATTCTTATAATAAACAGAGATTTCATATAGATGCATACATACACATCTACATGCATTCAAGAGTTGAAGCTATTATCTCTAATAAATAATTATATAGAACATATAATGATTACATGACTGCTACTTTTTTGGCCTATCATACAGTTTTAAGACTTTGCAAAAGGGACATGACTTTGCTCTTCAACTTGAGAAAATGCTTGACATTATCTAAACTTAGATTTATACAAATCAATATCTTATAGCAGTTTCTACTACATCCTCTAGTGCAAAAATGAAAATAAACAGCTTTTTATATCCTAACAAGCAAGCCCCTCCTACGAATGGGTCATAGTAACTCGGCTAATAAGATGACCAAAAGAAGAGTACAAACAATAAATTCCCAACATGATAACAAGCTAATAAGAGCTAAGATAATTAGTTAACCTGCATTTTCTTGGCCAATTCTAGCTTTTGCTTCTTAGTCTCATCGTCATCGTACCCCTTCTTAAATTGAACCATCGTTCTCCTGTGCAGTTCTGGTAGTGGGATAAAGGGAGCGTTCTGAGATTTAAAAATATATTTATTAGTTTTATTTATCAAATATTCTAAGAAGCGGAGAGAATATATATAGAATATTAAAAGACTTTATACCGTTGTCCTACAGAATTGATCCTCAATCTGGGCAAATGAAGTAGTCCCCGTATGATGATCATAATCTTTTTTCCATCGATTAAGTTTATTTCTCCTACATTTTTCCTTCAACATGAACAAAGAGAATTTTAGTGCATGGTATAATATACAATGGAATATATCACTAGTTTCAGATAAATAACTTGATGATAATTAACTACTATACATATTTACCTGGTGCTCCTCTTGGCCCCACAATATTATAAGTGCAGCTAAGTGCTCAGGCTCAACCCTCTTATCTCGCTTGTATATCCTCTCCCAGTTGTGAGTGAAACAATCAAAGCATTTCTTCTTTATCTCATGTCTCCACTCCCGAAGAGAATGCTTGAACTTTCCTCTCATGTCTCTACTCCCGAAGAGAATGCTTGAACTTTCCCTGGTTTCCAAATAAAAATTCCCACCCTACGGGATTGTCTTCGATATTGAAATATCTCTAAAAAATAAAATATAGTTAAGCATGGACAATTGACAGAATTAAAAAATAATTGTGCTAAATATAAGAATTTACCCAACAATCTCGATATATACTCTCCAGGACATGAAATGGCTGCTCCCAAGCCTCGTAATAGGGATTCACATTATCACTCCTCCGTATCAAACATCCAAGGTATGAGCTGAAGTTATTAGCCCACTGTCCGGTTGGAATCCCATTATGTCCCCATCTCACAATTGCTCGAAAACCATCCGGCGGTAACTTTTTTTTGAAGTCACTTCCTTGGCGTCCTTTTTTCTGGTAAAGTTTTTCTCCTACAAAAAAAAAGATATATCAACACTTTTATTTAATCAATCTTAAGCTCTTAGAATTGATTATGTTTTTTTATTAATAGACTCTTGAGTCTGTACCCCTCTGCACATGCTGGTAAGGGCCCGCGCTCAATCCCAGGAATGTATGCTCGAAGTATAACTGGAGGATCTGCATATAATGGTATGTGAGTCGGCTCTTCCTCACCCTCACCTATAAAAATAAAAGAAATAAATTATCATTGTGCATATATCATGAATAAAAATACATAAGTTAAACTAAGTTATACCTGACATCTCTCCTGAACTCGGAGGCTCTTCCTCGGTGGATTGGTCTTGACTGGGGTTAGCTTCGAATAACCTCCTGTTAATATTTTTAGACATCTGCAAGTTGAATAAACATACAAATTAATATAACATAGATGCAAATTAGCTTGGCGAAAATAAAAACAATATGTATTGTTGCGTTACTAAATTTGTCATTTCACATCAAGTTTGTAGGCATTTGCAAGCTGAATATACAAAATAAGATATTACATATTTATATCGTCCAAAAGGTAATTGAGATACATTGTAGTGATATTAAAGTTTTTATTATACAATTTGCAAACTAAAAAAAGTTACATAAAGACCCGATTACAAATAATTGCTGTTTAGCTCCTATTAATGTCTGTGATAATATTTGGAATGTCTGTCCGAGTTGTTGGAGCATCCGTTTCAAACACTACGTTTTGAGGGTACGAGAATTCATCGATCGCTGTATTTGGCTCATTGAAGTTGTTTATATAGCTCTCGTCATCATCTTCATTCGTGGAAGGTTGAATATAAGCCCTAGAATCCTTGTACAAGACAACCCACTCGTCTTTAACTGTAGGATCTTTCACATAGAAACATTGTCCCACCTGAGATGCAAACATGAATTTTTCATCACTACCACTTTCTTTATCGAGATTGACAATTGTAAATCCAAAGGGATCCTTTTGAGTCTTTGTAAAACACCAACGAATCATGAACATCATGTATTTATGTTCATTTGGACCACCATAGCCGTAGAATATCTCCACCACATCTTCCAACCTTCCATAATATGTCATATTATTTTATAATTAACTACTATACATATTTACCTGGTGCTCCTCTTGGCCCCACAATATTATAAGTGCAGCTAAGTTCTTAGGCTTAACCCTCTTATCTCGCTTGTATATCCTCTCCCAGTTGTGAGTGAAACAATCAAAGCATTTCTTCTTTATCTCATGTCTCTACTCCCGAAGAGAATGCTTGAACTTTCCCTGGTTTCCAAATAAAAATTCCCACCCTACGGGATTGTCTTCGATATTGAAATATCTCTAAAAAATAAAATATAGTTAAGCATGGACAATTGACAGAATTAAAAAATAATTGTGCTAAATATAAGAATTTACCCAACAATCTCGATATATACTCTCCAGGACATGAAATGGCTGCTCCCAAGCCTCGTAATAGGGATTCACATTATCACTCCTCCGTATCAAACATCCAAGGTATGAGCTGAAGTTATTAGCCCACTGTCCAGTTGGAATCCCATTATGTCCCCATCTCACAATTGTTCGAAAACCATCCGGTGGTAACTTTTTTTTAAAGTCACTTCCTTGGCGTCCTTTCTTCTGGTAAAGTTTTTCTCCTACAAAAAAGAAATAATAGATATATCAACACTTTTATTTAATCAATCTTAAGCTCTTAGAATTGATTATGTTTTTTTATTAATAGACTCGGAATTGATCAAGTTTTTGATCAAACTCACCAAATCTTTGTCTGATTTCATTTTTTGCATCAGACAAAATCTCATCAATCTGTGGGGCCCATTCATCTAATCTTTTTTTCTCAGGCATGTATTTTTCGTTCTGCTTGAGTCTGTACCCCTCTGCACATGATGGTAAGGGCCCGCGCTTAATCCTAGGAATGTATGCTCGAAGTATAACTGGAGGATCTGCATATAATGGTATGTGAGTCGGCTCTTCCTCACCCTCACCTATAAAAATAAAAGAAATAAATTATCATTGTGCATATATCATGAATAAAAATACGTAAGTTAAACTAAGTTATACCTGACATCTCTCCTGAACTCGGAGGCTCTTCATCAGTGGATTGGTCTTGACTGGGGTTAGCTTCGAATAACCTCCTGTTAATATTTTTAGACATCTGCAAGTTGAATAAACATACAAATTAATATAACATAGATGCAAATTAGCTTGGCGAAAATAAAAACAATATGTATTGTTGCGTTACTAAATTTTTCATTTCACATCAAGTTTGTAGGCATTTGCAAGCTGAATATACAAAATAAGATATTACATATTTATATCATCCAAAAGGTAATTGAGATACATTGTAGTGATATTAAAGTTTTTATTATACAATTTGCAAACTAAAAAAAAATTACATGAAGACCCGATTACAAATAATTAATGTTTAGCTCCTATTAATGTCTGTGATAATATTTGGAATGTCTGTCCGAGTTGTTGGAGCATCCGTTTCAAGCACTACGTTTTGAGGGTACGAGAATTCATCGATCGCTGTATTTGGCTCATTGAAGTTGTTTATATAGCTCTCGTCATCATCTTCATTCGTGGAAGGTTGAATATAAGCCCTAGAATCCTTGTACAAGACAACCCACTCGTCTTTAACTGTAGGATCTTTCACATAGAAACATTGTCCCACCTGAGATGCAAACATGAATTTTTCATCACTATCAATTTCTTTATCGAGATTGACAATTGTAAATCCAAAGGGATCCTTTTGAGTCTTTGTAAAACACCAACGAATCATGAACATCATGTATTTATGTTCATTTGGACCACCATAGCCGTAGAATATCTCCACCACATCTTCCAACCTTCCATAATATGTCATATTATTTTCAACTGGATTCTGATCTCTTCTGTTTGAGAAACATTCCCGTGAGAAGGTAGCCATGACACCACTATTCTGGGTGACCTTCGTATCACCAACCTCCATTGTGTGAAATTTATAACCGTTAACACGATACCCACCATAGTGAATTATAGCATAGTAAGGCCGCTTTGCGTGAACCTTCACTTCTTCTGATATTTGATTATTAAGGACAAGTTGTTCCTGGATCTAAATATATACAAAAATAAGCAAACTATTAAATCAATAATTTCTAAGTTTTTTATCAAAATAAAAATTAAAGATCGCTAAATTTAACAATACTTACTTCACTATTCAACCAAGCAGGGAATTCCTTCATATGTCTTTCTTTAATGTCATGTACCGCTGTACTACCGGTAACTTCATTCTTAAGTTTTTCCTGATGTTGCCTATTAATGTGCATATATAAATTTAATTATTATTGTCAAAATAAAAATTTTGTCAAAATAGAAATTAAAGAGTAAATGGTATTAAAAATTCTTTTTAGATATTTTACCTCCGGTACTCCGAGAATATTTCAAGATTATTTATAACATATGCATGCGCTTGATCTAACAATATGCTAGAATAATTTTTGTTCAGCCCGCGAGGATAGAGAATTGTGTACTCCTTATTATCAACGGGTGCTTGAAGTTCAGTTTGTTCCCCTCTCATATAACGAGAGGCAAATAAGAGACACTCGCTTCTCACGTAACTTTCAGCTATTGAACCTTCTGGGCGAGCTCTGTTACGCAATTGACGCTTCATTGAACCCAAATATCTAAAAAAGGAATATTAATCAGATATAGATGTAAAGAAATTTACATTTAATAGATATAAATATTGATGTGGATCGATTAAATTTTTCTAAATACTAACCTCTCTATTGGATACATCCAACGATAATGGACTGGTCTTGCTATTGCAGCCTCCTCCGCGAGATGATGTGTAAGATGAACCATTATTGTGAAAAAAGATGGAGGAAAGAGCATCTCCATTTCACACATTGTTTCAGAAATATTTTCTCCAAGTTTCTCAAAGTCACGGGCGTCTATAACTTTAGAACAAAGCTTTCTAAAAAATCTACAAAAATCAATAATAACCTTCACTGTTTTTTTATTCTGCATAGTACTGCGTAGTGCCACAGGTAGCAATTGATGAAGAAGCACGTGATAATCATGAGTTTTAAGCCCTAATATTTTCCTTTCTTGCACCTGGACATAGTTCGATATGTTTGCGGAATAACCCTCTGGTAACTTTATTGATTTGAGGACTTGACAAAATGTTTGCATCTCAACTTTTGACATTGTAATACGAGACGTAGGCAACTCTAATCGGTCATTTCCGACATTTTTTGGCTGCAGTTCCTCTCTAATGTTCAATGCTGTTAGATCTCGACGAGCTCGTAGATCATCCTTTGATTTATTAGCATCTTGCAACAGTGTGGACAAAAGATTATCACAAATATTTTTTTTAATGTGCATAACGTCCAAGTTGTGACGTATTTTTAGCTCTTTCCAATAGGGGAGTTGAAAAAAAATGCTGAATTTTGTCCATCCTGAAGGTAATTTTACGACTTCAGCCCCATCACTCACCACTTGTGCTTGTCTCTTTCGTTTTGGTATCCTTTTGTTAATACGCAAGTTCCTTACTCCAAGTAAATCTTCTTTCGAATAGCGCTTCTTTCCAAACCTGACGGCAGGGAACATCTCAAGCAAATGTACAATCTGATCCCCACGTAATGGACGCGGAGCATCTCTCTTCTCAACAGTATCATCAAAAAACTTGCTCCATTTTTTGGTTCTGTACCTGTGTTTTATGTTCAACCACCTTCTATTAAACCAATAACAAAACTTTCGACTGTGCTGCAGATAAAGACCTTTGAATTCTGGACCACACACTGGACATGCATATGTTCCCTTTGTAGACCAACCTAAAAGATTCGCATAGGCTGGAAAATCATTAATTGTCCATAGTAAAATAGCACATAGTCTGAAAGACTGCTTTGCATGAGTATCATGAGTCATAACCCCTTCAGTCCAGAGTTGTTTTAACTCATCAATTAGCGGTTCTAAAAACACATCTATGTCATTGCCTGGCGCATGCTTGCCCGGTATCAATAATGAAAGTATCATATACGGTTGTTTCATACAAAGCCAAGGCGGTAAGTTGTAAGGTGTTAATACAACAGGCCATGTAGACCAACCAGAACTCATTATCCCAAATGGATTAAATCCGTCGCTAGACAAACCTAGTCTAACATTCCTGCACTCATTCGCAAACGAAGGAAAAGTTCTATCCACATGCTTCCACGCCTCTGCATCGGCCGGATGTCTGATTTTACCATCATCAATACGTTCCTCCATGTGCCACCTCATTTGCTTAGCAGTGTCTTTATTCATATACAACCGTTTTAGCCTTGGTATTAAGGGAAAATGACGCAGGACCTTTGCTGGAATCTTCTTTTGCTTAAGCATAGACCTTGTTGTCCCATGTGTTGAATAATTTTTGCGTTGTACCCACCGTGATACTCCACAAATTGGACACTCCTGAAGATCTTTGTTATCCTTATAGTAGAGGATACAATCATTAGGGCATGCGTCGATTTTATTGTAATCAAGTCCTATAACGGAAACAATCTTCTTTGCGTTATCATAATTTTCTGGTATGCTATCTTTTCCATTTGGAATGACTTTTCTCAGCAACACAAGCAACATATTAAAATATTTATCCGCCATTCCGCTAAGAGACTTTATACGCAAAAGACGCAGCATAAATGATAACCTGGTGAACTCGGTACAACCCTCATACAGATCATTTTCATTGTCGTTAATTAATTTCATTATCTGCGCTAGCTCCTCATGATCAGTCACGCCTCCAGCATTTCCCGACTCGTCAGCATCCTCGGCATCTTCAGATTGATCTATATTAGGAACTGTTAACATATCCGCGAGCATCGTATGTGTATCATCTATTCTCGTATCATCTATTCTCCCACCGGACGTACCGGTATCCGCCATCAGTTCAATTTCTTCAAGGCATCCTTCCCCATGAAACGTCTAATATTTGTACTCCTCATGAAATCCGGATATTAAGTGTTTCTGTAAATCAATTTTATCCACCAACGCTCTATTTTTACACCAATAACAGGGACAATACACGACATCACTATTTAACTTCCGTGGGTCTGCCAAGGCGTACTGTATGAATTGATTTATTCCATCTTTATATCGACTATCCCTCCATCTATCAATACGAGGAATATCGATCCATGATTTGTCCGGAACTATCCTCATAGATCTGTATGATATTAAGCATAATTAGATAATGTGAATTTTTATTAGTAACGTATCAAATTAAAGGTTGCGTGATATTAACTTTCTTCACGACATCAAGGAAATTTTAATTATAATAATCTAGGAGGGAAAATTACCAGAATATAAATTATGTGGGAGGAAAATCTAACGCTCATATTTGAAATAAGACAATTTAACGGCTGTCATAGGAAATGGACCTATCCCATTAGGAATATAGTAGTGTTTACAACTACCTTTATATACTTTAAGCGTTTTTATTTCTTGAAAATTTCGGCAGCACCTACCCGCAGTTCTCCGAGTACACTGTGCGGATGTTATAATGCGTATCAATCATCGATAATAAATCGATTATAGATCGATACACAAAACAACATACGTTTATTGTACACGGAGAACAATGCAGTACGTGTTATCGAAATTTATAAGGAATAAAAATGCATAAAGTACACAAAGATAGATGATACACTACTGTATTCCTAACCTGTACGAGAAGGGGACTCCTCCCCAGACAGATCTAATAATTATTGCATGTATATCATGCTCCTAACATAAATCACGTTATTCTCTTTAGATGTAAAAAGTATTTTCACATCCAACTAGAATTACGTGAGTTTATATCAGAAGAGATTCACATCCAACATTATTAGACGGGAAACTAGGGGTAACGACTTTCGATTCATAAATCATGATATATAACACAATAAAACTTGTAATTACCACAAGAGAATAAATTAACCAAAAGAGAATAAAGACCCAGAGAGTAAATTAGCACTTAACATTTTTATAATTGTATTGTTCTCGTTTATTGTCATATTCATCACTATACATATCCTCTCCTTTTTATTTATTTACCATATGAAGTCGTATTTTTGTCATAATAGATTTTTTTAAATATTTAAAATATTCTAATGATGGATAATTTAGGATAGTTAAGCATAAATATGATAAAAATAATTGGATGTTTAAGTACCATTTAGTCAGCCAACTTATCATACGTGTATTGTAAAAGGACCATGTTTCTAGTAATCTCGAGGTTACTCATATAAATACACAAACTTCATAGATGCTCGTGTAATAACATATTTTTTTAAAGTATTTTCAATTTTTAAAAGATATTTAGCCCCTAGCTCATATATTTTGAAACGAGTTTTTGAAAAGTTGATACTGTAAATAAGTACCTTAATATCAAATTAGTCTTCTAATTTAAATCAATTAATTTAAACTGACAAATTATCTTCTATCACATTCATTCGTAAATTAAATTAGAGGAACTAAATTTGCACTGTGAACCGAGTTGACTTCAAGCAAAGGTTTACACGATAAACTTATAACCTCTGTTATTTCAAAATTAAAACATCAAGTTGTGACAGCAATGCAATCCAACAAAACGTAAACTTATAAATATCAGCCAGCTTGATCGTTTTATAACTAATTATGTATAATTTCTATACACTAAAATGCGACAACGACCAAAAATTACCGCTTGGATCTCCTGCAGTGCAATCCAACAAAACGTAACACTCACTTGGACCTCCTGCACTGCAATCAAAGAAATCAAATCTTCAATTAGAAAAAACAGCAAAACCTAAAATCAGAAAAAAAAATAAAAAAAATTGAAAACAAAATCAAAGGAATCATACGCTGACGGGTGAGGAGATGAGAGAGCTCAGGCGACCCACTGTTCGAGTCGGCGCGGGGGCGGTGCGACGGCGAGCTCCAAGGTCGACGGTGAGCTCGATCGGGGCCACGGGCGGTGGAGTCGAAGAGCGGGAGGGGAAGGTGATGGCGCGGGCGGCGAGCGGCTGAGGTGATCGGTGAGGTGGCGGTGAGGTGATCGCTGGCGGCGAGCGGCTGAGCTGAGAGAGGGGAAGTCGAGGGCGCGCGGCGGGAAACAAAAATTAGGGCTCGATCTGTCGAAAAAATTTCAACAGCGAAATAAATAGCTCACATCGCTGACGGGGAAACCCGTCAGCGATGTTTACAGCCCGTCAGCGATGTTTTCATCGCTGACGGGAAGGAATAAACGCCGACGGGAACATCGCTGACGGGATTTCCCGTCAGCGATATAAACAACGCTGACGGGAATTTCCCGTCAGTGATGTTCCCGTCAGGGAAACCACTATTTCCACTAGTGTATGTTCCCAAAGAGGAGCCCGAGGTGCCTTGACGACAATCACATGACCCTGCAGATGACCTGCACAACCCTAATGTGTTGGTCCGATCCAATAAGTTTAGCTCTCATGTCCAACCCATAAAAAAACCTTGATTCGATGGGGCTTGAATGTCGACCATAGGGTCGGTCCAATGAACAAGCAAACAATACAAACTAGGTGAACCCAAATCACTCGACTGGACGTAGAGCCACCACTAGATACTCAAACTAACCTAATCGCTACAATCGGGATTATGATCCGAGAAGTCTAAGTATAATTTTGGACCAACCTACCAATGGTATAATTCAAACTATGATGATGCATTGGATGTGAGCTCACCGGCCTTAGCTGACAATATTATGAACATGCCCTATGAACCAATCAAGACTCCCATGCTAGAGGTCAATAAGGGGAAGGGGTGACCCCATCGAACATTCGAGCAATTACCACAATGCTATAAAGATAGCAAAGGTAACTTGACGATGCCTTGATGTGCTGATACTTCTCAAATACATTGAACAGTAAGGACAGGACCTAGTACGTCCACAACTTTCACTAGCTTTACAACCTCTTCATCAGTCATTTCCTCGCTAAAACGAGGATAAAAACCTCCTCGCTCATGGTAATTTAACTGAAGTGGGAGCCAGGGGAAACCATAAGGGAGTACTTCAATTGATACCAAGACAAACTCCTCAATTTTGAGGATCCATACTATCACATTACCATAGTCGGGATTATGTAATGAATTGACTCATAAAGACCTCTACCAATATCTAGTAAAGTAGCCGCTAAGGAATTTGATGACCTCATTCACCAAGCAAAAGACTATATGGATGCAGAAGAATCCTATTGGTGAAAGAACCGGGGGAAAAGAAGCTAGAGGATAACTCCAAGCCCGACAAAAGGGACCAACAACGCAGCAAAAGGAAAAAGAGGAGGAGCCCTACAAGAAAGTTTTCGACGCACAATCCCCTCAACATATCAGTCGCACAAGTCTTGCTCCAAGTCTAGAAGGAGGAGTACCTCAATAAGGCCCCACCTAAACTTATGAGAGATCACAATCGGCATGACAAGAACGTGTACTACAATTACCACAAGGACATCAGGCATAACACTGATGAATGCAAGACTCTAAAAAGAAATTGAGGACTAATTCAAGGAGAATACCTAGGGCGATTCATAGACAAAAAGCAATGAGCAACTTAGAGGGACGAAGCCCAAGACTAGAAGAGAAAGAGCGATCACCTTAAAGAGCAGGAAGTTGATGAGATTTGGGATAGATCATGTGACGCCCATGTTTTCACACATGACTGCAGTCCAAAGGTGAACCCAGAGATGTCAAACGTGTCATGCACCCACACTATGTAACAACACGTTTCACCATCACAGTAATATCTCTCTAGTAGAATCAATAGCAAGTGTAGCTACAAAATAGGCAAAATAAGGGAAATAAATGCATTAGACGTGATGTAGAAAGAGATATCTAATAAATATAATCATGTCTCAACTGAATAAACTGAATACAACTGAAGTCTAGAGATATCTAATAAATATAATCATGTCTCAACTGAATAAACTGAATACAACTGAAGTCTGAAATAAATGTGAAGTATCTCAATATCTCAACTGAATAAACTGAATACAACTGAAGTCTGAAATAAATGTGAAGTATCTCAATATGAGTCAACTAAAATAAACTAAGGCTTACAACATTTACAAGATGAAATACAAAACCCTAAATGTCCGAAAGAAAATATCAACTATGGTGAAGTCTCATCTACTAAAAATATGTGACGTCGACTATGTTGGAAGTTCGTCATCCTGCAGTTCTCCGGAACTCTGAGCTATTGCCTGAAAGGAATTGGAAAATAAAAAGAGAAACAACAAGAGCGTCAGAGCGCTACAGCAAGATCATCTCCATCCTGCCCACATGAGAAGGGCTACTAGATGTGATGAAGGCTCTATCTATTAAACATAGTCTACCTAGATCATTTACACTGTATCTAAATGGAATTAATATTTAGAAACCTACAACACGAGACGCAGTACGTCAAGAGAAATAATCCAAACAAGAAAACTCTCATGTATGTACCATATGTCTCAAATTGTAGATAACTAAATATCAATACCAAACTAAGAATAAACAATCTTCTAAATGGAATTAATATTTAGAAACCTACAACACGAGACGTAGTACGTTAAGAGAAATAATCCAAATAAGGAAACTCTCATGTATATACCATATGTCTCAAATTGTAGATAACTAAATATTAATACCGAACTAAGAATAAACAATCTAAATATAATTAATAATTAGAAACTCACAGCACGAAACTGGTACGTCGAGCGAAATAATCCAAACAAGAAAACTCTCATGTATATACCATATGTCTCAAATTGTGAATTGCTAATTATCAATTCCAAACTAGGAATAAAGGAAAGCAATACAAGGAAGTGAAGTCATCGCAAATATCAGACCAAAAATATCTTCCACTATCATTTGGAAGATAATGTAAACAACTACATATGATCACGTGTACTTACAACAGT